GAAAGTCAGAATACCAAACTATTCAGTCTTTTCTCAAGTAGATAAATGGTTAGAACTTATAGTCAGAGCATGAGTTAAAGAAATTAGCTAGATCTCTCATACTTCTTTTAAAGGGACCTTAATACTTGTTATACCTTTAAAAAAGAAAGCCACAACCTGAAGGCAAAAACTTGATTTCTAAATTTTTATTCTAAATGTTCTAACATCCAAAGTGGAATACACACACCTGGTATTCTGTCAATACTGCTGTTTCTATTGCGTGTGCATGTTTGTGTGTATGTGCCTGTGTTTTATATGTCTTTGTCTCCTACAAAAGGTTATAGAGGTTCTCCGCCTTCCTCGGGAGTACCACAATGCCTGACACTTGGTGTTGATCAAGTAGGCGTTGGTTCAGTAAATAGTCTTTTCTTACTAATCCTAATGCCAAGTTATTGTCCAAGGGCTGAGTAATGTTATATCTCATCTTCATCAGTCATAGCCTTGTTTCAGTACCACTGTGGCTGTTTATTCAGTGTATCATTGGTGATCTGCCACCTATTTAAATAGATTTTTTAAAATTATCAGTCTAATACTGAAAGCCATCTGGGGCTACAAACTAAAGACTCCCTGTACAACCTGGGACCCTCTCCCTTCCCAATTTACTGTCCACTGGATGTTGCTCACATCTCCCATGGTAACTGTTAATGTTGAAGAAATGCACTTCCCCCATCAGGAAACCCAGAGGTAACACTTCAACTAATTGGGGGCTGCAAATCTCCCCCCCCACCTCTTCGCTGCATTATGCAGCAAACATCTACCCCACCCCTCCGCAGAGCACTCTGCTGCCCCATTAATATCAGAAACAAAACTAGGCTTTGACAAGAGGAATTACATGTCTTCAAAATTAATAACTAGCTAAATATGTCCATGCAACCTTGCAGCCCAGGAAAGATGTTGCTGTGGTCATCTCCTCACATTAAGCACCATCGTCAGATTTTCAGCTCACCTGACACTGTAGCCTTAGAACAAACAGTCAGCTGACTAATGAAACCTTGCATGGCCGTTAGTCGGTTTTCTGTACCACCAGACTCCCGTTCGAGATGTGCGGTGGAAAGTGCTCATTGCTATCCTCTTGTGAATTCACTAGCTGACTTTTTTTTAATGAAAATCTGGAATCAGCTCTGTGGTGAAGTCAGTTGTGATCAGGGACCTGGGCCATCCAGGGGTGGAGGCTCGGGGTCAGCTCTTTGCACTGTGCAGAGCTGCCTCTGCAGGTCACAAGAACTCTGAGTTTCAAAAAGAATGGTGGCTACCGGCTGCAGACCTTGAACTGCAGCTTCGGGTGTGGAAGGAACGTTTCCTTATAAAACGACCAACAGTGTGACCCAGTGAGGGACAGGCTCCGTTGAGCCCGGCAGGAGACAAGAAGTCACCAAGCAGAGGCTGCATTTTTGTGGGTACATCACACTGTCTCTCCAGCTGATGCAATTTACAGAAGAAAGAAGTCACACCCTGAAGTATATTTTGGTAATGGGTCACATACAGAGTGATGCTGTTATAAAAACAGCCACTTGATTCCAGAGCACAAGCACTGACTTTCCAGGAGCTGGTGGATTCCCACAGATAACAATCGCTCTACTGGCTGAATGGCTCCCCAGGGCTCCCAACAGCAGAAGGCGCAACAATGCGCCTTTGCCCTCAGACACAGGCGCCTAATGGCTGGCATTGACACTTTCCCTCAAAAGTGCCACTGTCTTCGGTTCTGAGTTGGCCTTATTGTTCAGAGCTCAGGGAATGAGGCTTATGTCCAGATACGGGACAATAAAATGTGCTATACACTTGTTGTCAGCAGTATTGTGGGTCGCTGTTATATAAAAACCTTCATTCCTGCAATTCTCTGCAATGACCTCCCCAGGCTCTAACCTCCAATCTGTGAATACCTGTTTACCCCCAACTCAATTGCCAGGGCCACCAGCAGCAGCCAAGGTTAGCGTATGACTTTTACTGCTCCGACATCGAGAACTGTTGTGCTGAAATATTTAGCAACTGAACAGATAAACCGAATTGTGTTTAAGCATTAACATTTAGAAGTTGGTAATAAATCACGGTGGCCTTTGAGACCAGGAAGATGGAAGGAACTATTCCAAAGGTATTTTCTTTGGATCTGCTCTGATCCCTGGCAGAGCACGCGGTCTCGCAGCAAACACAGCCAAGGAAGATTCTGTGCCATGTGGCTTTGGGGTATGATGGGCTGGATTCAATGTGGGAAAATGATGCTTTAAAAAATATGCTTAGTGGTATTGAAAAATCATAGATCCGGCCAGCATGTTTTGAAGGATATCATCCACGTGATTCCTTGCTTTTGGCTTATGCAAAAGTCCTTGATGGCTCCTCTACTGGTGTATGAACAGCAGATAACAGACGCAGGAAACAGTTCACCAGCAGTATCAAGGCACTTTTTAGCCAAAAAGAGGCCTTCTGCACAAAATGTTAAAACATCTCTTGAAAATCAAATGTGTATATTGTATCTACCTAGAAGCTTTGGGCTGCAAGTAATGGGAGTCAGGGAGGAGTCTCCAAATGGCTAATGTGATAGAGATTTAGTTCTCAAAAGCAAGGTCTTGAACCCAGATAATTGGAATTGGAGTTCATTTACCACCTCAGCCACATCCAGAGGAACTGTTTTACTGTCCAGAGCTGGCTCTGTCTTCATCGTGTTAAAAAGCAAAGAAACCTTTTCCAACCTGAAGCGGCTGTCTCACATCACACTGGCTTGAATCAATCACGTCTACTCTAACAAATCTCTGCTACGAAAAACCAGTTTCGATACTCAAGATTGCTCCTAAACTAAAGACCAGGTGATGTTAGAAGAATAAGAAGTTGAAACAACCCAAACAGTGCAGAGGAGGGACTCTAGACTTTTCCATTAGGCAACCAACCTTGGGGCGACACTTCTGTGTTTCTGTTCCTTCCACAGCAGCAAAGTGTCTAAGGTGTAATACCTTAATTTGGAGATGTTGGAACTTTTCATATTAAAGGTCAACCATCATCTAGTGAGATAAAGAAAAAAAGCAAATAAGTTCGGCTAAGAAAAATCTCCATTATCCAACTTGGCCAATGAAATTCAAATGCCTATCCTAAATTAGGGTAGTTCGTGGACTATAAATACAGTTCCTCCAGGAAAAGGCATTTGAAAGTGACAAGGAGCCAGCCTTGAAGGAAATACCCACAAGTTCCTGAAGCAAAGAGACGAGTGCTTCAAAGGTCCTGAGGCAGAGAACAGGAAGTACCAGGCAGCACTAGTACACTGAGCAGGACAGCAGGCAGTAAAAATGCAGGTGGGTGATCAAGAAGTCCTTCCAAGGCCTGTGGAGCCTGGAAAGGAGTACAGGGGGTTGTTCTAAGTGCAGAGGGAAGCCACTGAAGGATTAAATGGTATGGAACTGGAAAATGGCAGCCACTAATTAGAGGAACACCACTAATGCAAACTTTGCCTTTCGAGAAGCTGCTTGCCAGGTTCTCAATTTAATAGGTAATAACCAGGAAGGAAGTCAACTTCATTTCCTTGAGTCTGTGAAAAGTCAACTTTTAGTTCTAGTTAAGGGGCATATTTTATGGACAGATTGGGTTATGGAGAGATTAACACAGTGGAATGGCTTATTTAGACCAACTCGAACACAAAAAGCAGTGATCCTGTCTTTTCTTAGACAAGAAAATTCCATTTCTAATTTGGTGAGGCTGCTACTTCATCCACAGTGGCTCACTCATTTAACTCCCGCTGACTTTAGACAGGGATTCTTCCCTATGGAGAGACAAAGGAAGGCTGGCATGTCTCTCCATGGTCTGTCCAGCTGTGCTTGCTGTGAGACTGTGGATTGCATCCTGGGGATGTTCGTGTAAGAGGTTCACTTTCAATGGAATCTCCTTGCTCTACTTGCCAAATCCTTTCATGTTTCAGTCTACGTCTGTATCCTTGGCAGGTCTGGTTGAAAGGGGTTTTTGTTTGGTTTTGCATCCGTTTATCCACAGACTTTCCTCTTTCGGACCATCTTTGTGGAGCATCTCTGCATGTTGGTTGCAAGCACATTTGCAAACAGTGTTGATGGTAGGGGTATGTGGTTCTAGGGGGCTCTCATGGTTCAGGGTGAGTGGAACTCCTAGAGGGGTGGGGTCATAGAGCTAAGCCAGGAAGAAGCTCCTTCTAGCACAATAAGAAAGATGACCAGAGAGCAGAAGGGGGCCAGGGACAGAGGCTTGGAGCCTGCTGGAGGAGGCCAAGTGTGCTGTCCAGATGTGGAAGAAGAGCTAGCTTAAAATCATGAACAGATTTTCAGGGAGGAGAGCCAGGTGGATTTGGAAAATGGATGTCGACAGAACTGAGGTAATGCCAAGAGCATACAGCGCCTCCGTCTCACTAGTTCTCAAGCCAGGTGAGATCCTGGTGAGGACTAAGTCCTCTTTTCCGTGACCTCATTTTGGAGCATTGATGATGAGCAAGTGGTCTTTAGAACAGAGTACTGAGAACTGTGCTAGCTTCTTGACAGAGTCATTGAAGACAATCACTAGGAATCTTCTCTGCCTTCTTCCTATCACTGCACAACCATCTTCTGAGCATGATTGTGTTAGTTACTTTCCTCATTACCGTGACCAAATATCTCATGGGAAGAATCAAGAGGGAGGACGGGTTTATTTTGATTCACAGTTTAAGGAGCAATACAACCCATCGTGGCAGGAGGAGAATTAGGTAGCTGGTAAATTATATCACAGTCAGGAAGCATAGGACCGGAAGGGTGGCCAGTGCATAAAACTTCAAGGCCACTCCAGTGACTCACTTCCTTCAGTAGAGCTCTACCTCCCAAAGGTTCCACAACCTTCCAGAACAGCACCATCACCTGGGGATTAAGTGTTCAAAAAAAGCGTCTGTCTGATGGGTGTTTCATATTCGGACTGCCACAAAGTTTAATTTCAGACATGCAATCACTTTCCTAACTGTGGTTTCTTTTCTCTTTTCCTTATGGAAGTATATTCGGTGCTGTTCGAACTGGTGCTTATATGGTGTACATTTTGATGACCAAAGGCCTGAAGCAGTCAGTTTGTGACCAGAGTTTTTACAATGGACCTGTCAGCAAATTCTGGGCTTACGCATTTGTGCTAAGCAAAGCACCCGAACTAGGTGAGTGTCTCCTCTTCCGTTTCCTATCCGTCTTGTTGCACCCTCATAGTCACATAACTTATTAAAAATGAATCGAGAGAAACACACAGTTTGAAGATCTGTCGTTACTGGGTGCAGAAAAGTTAGCACGGGCTTGAAGATTTTGACTGAGTTCTTTCTTGTTTACAACATCCTCTTAAATCTGCATCACGTGTATTGACAGAATAGTTTGCACATGCCACCTTCTTCTGAGCCACTTCCAAGAGTTCTCAAAATATACAGGGCCCCCTCTCTAAGGCCTATTAACAGCTCAGCTAATATTAGAATAGGAAAGAAAAAAAGAAAAAAAAGGAGCAACACAGTTATTTCCAAGTCCCAGACCTAAGCTGACGTTCATCTCTAAAGTTAGGATTCAGATTAGCAAATTAAGTTTTACATTTGGATATCTTTGTGTTCTCAATAAGAATTGCTAACTGTTGGTCTCTACTGTTTGACATTACTCATTACTGACCCTGGAGAAAGTAAATGTAGTTCACCTTCTAGAAATTCATAGAAAATGCTGACCATACTTAGAAATTTCCAGGACTTTTTCTTCAGTCTTTGATGGTCTTAAAGGTAAGGGTGGCGTAGGTTTGCAGAAGTGCTGACAAGTTAGTGGCAAAGATCTAGTGTGGGTAACATTGTGGGAAAGTGTGAGGAAGGAATCCGCTGGTGAAAGCTCTTCAGCGCATCCCTGAGTACCACCACCCACTGTCTCACACACTGGCTATGTTCCTGAGAAAGACTAGTCACTGGACCTCTTCATTTTGTTTAAACCTGGAATTAAGAATTACATGGCTTTAGTTCAAATGCTTCAGTGGTAGAACTTAAAAGTACGTATGTTCGTTGCTTTTCCTCTCTTAAAAAGAGGTTAGACATTGTAGTTTCATAACAAGCCTTCTACAGTTTTTGCTGTCGGTAGTATTTTGTAAAGTACTCCTAGTTCAAGCCCACTTGTTCAAGTAAGAGGTGCATCCTCCTCAATATGGTGGAAGGACAGCTGCCACTTCCCACAGCATGCTAGAAATCTGCCTGCGAGTAGTGCTCGCAGTTGGAGTGCCAACTGCCAGTTGTCTTCCTAGGTCAAAGACAAAAGAACAGTAGTAAGAGAGCTTTCTCTAAAAACCTTTCCTCAGAGGGACAGGGTGTAAGCACAGTTCTCTACCCAGTCCAGAATGACTAGATGTGTGTGTGTGTGTGTGTGTGTGTGTGTGTGTGTGTGTGTGTGTCTGTGCATGATGGACACATAAACAATCTCGGAACAAAATGCATTTACATAGATTGTTGTTGGTCAGTTAATAAATTCATTAAGCACCTGCCAAGAACCAGACATATAATAGGGATTAGAACAGAATGGCTACTTTACAAAGGCTTTTACAGTAAGAAGCCTGTAGAGCAGGCTCCAGGAAACTTTGGGGGGGGGGTGTGCACACTCATGTGTGTGTGTTCGTGCCAGTGTTTGCATGCCATGGTGTGTGTTTGTAGGTTAAGGGACCTTGGGTGTCAGTCCTCATCCTCCACTGTTGGAGACAGGGTCTCTTTGATATTTTCCTGCTGTTCACACCATGTTGTCTGGCCACAAACTTTGGATTTTGTTATCTCCACCTCCCATCTTCCCTTAGATGCTCACAGTACAAATCCAGCTTTTACATGGGTTCCGAGAAGTCGAATTCAGGCTCTTGAGCTTTTGTAGGAAGCACTTTTACCCAATGAGCGTCTCCTAGCCCCAGGAACATTCATCCTTGTATCAAGACCACTGCATATCCAGTCTTAGGCAGGAGACATTTCTTTCGAACTTGGATCTATAGACAGTACTTACAGTTACAGGTATGTTTTTAGGAACTTTTTAATTCAGTGAGAACATTTTTATTTCTTATCCCCCTTGGTGGAGAGTATATTCATCTTACTGGCTTTGTTTTGGCTTTGTTTCTTTCACTGTGATAATTTTTTTATTTTTTTTTTGGTCCTTTATTTTTCCTTTGGAGACAGGGTCTCGTGGTAGCCACAGCCGGCCTGGATTCACTATGGAGACCTGGCTGGCCTCGAACTTACAGAGGTATACCTGCCACAGCCTCCCAAGTGCTGGGATCAAAGGTGTGTGCCACCACACCCGGCTTCACAGTGATAAAGTTTTTAACTTAGACTCATGATGTTTTGGAATGTGGACTCAAACTGGGGTTGATCTCAGTGTATATTTTCTATTCTTAGGGTTCTTTAAAATAAAGTACTATATTGTTAGTTTGATAATTATTTAAGTTGGAGAATGTCATATCCCCCTGACTTTTCTTTTATGCTGTGTATCTTTGATACAGAAATGACTACAGATACTTAAGTGCGGTGTGTGCATGAAAGTGTGATCTCAAAGGTGGTGACACACACCTTTAACCCTAGCACTCAGGAGGCAGAGGCAGGCAGATCTCTGTGAGACTGAGGCCAGCCTGGTCTATATAGGGTATTTCAGGCCAGCTAGGGCTACAGGGAGATCCTGTCTCAAAGAAAGGAAACCCAGTTGATAAAAACAAAAGCATAGGACAACAGACAAAATATGTCCTTCTCACAAGGCAGTTGCCCTCCATGTTTCAACTACGTGGGTCAACCCCACTAGAGCCCTGCATTTAAATTATCTATAGAATCAAGCAGTCTAAGACCGTTTCTGAAGTGTAATGTCACGCCTCATCCTCTGAGCATTCCAGTGACCTCTACCTCCTACTACATGCAACGATGCTTTCATTTATAAATACTGTCTTTTCTCTGGCCCTTAACCCACAGATGCAAAGAAGCATACTTATCTTTCATTCTAGAAGGGCCTTTTTCCTGCCAGACGTCCTGTCTGCTGTGTTCTGAGTTCCACCCAGTTGTAGTTAAGGTGCTTCAATAAAAAGTGTCCTTTCTAGCCTCTTGGAGAGATGCTTTACTGAAGAGCCTCCGAGCTACCCAGTAGCGGTCATTTTTCTTTCCCAAACATGATTAGATTTCTGCTCTCTGACCTCCTGCCAAATTCCAGATTAAGTCAGAATTTTGAGATGGCAGAATTAGAATTCCTAAAAACTATCAGTGTAACACTCAGGGCGTTCAGACCTTCCTCCTCCATGTCGACTCTGACCTAACTGATCACCCTGTCCCAGTTCAGTGGAAGGCCTAATGCCCAACTCCCCCCTGCCCAAAGCAGGTTGAACACAGTCTACCTCTTGAGCCTGAGGCACTAGATGTTAGTAGATTTCCAGGGGTTTTTAAAATATTTTATTTATTATTTTTATTTTATGTGTATGTGTGTATTGCTTGAATTGTAGGTAAGTGCATCCGTGTCATGCAATGCCCACAGAGGTCAGAAGAGGCTGTCGGATCCCCTGGAACTGGAGTTATGGACAGTTGTTAGCTGCCTTGTGGGTACTGGGATTCAAACCTGGGTCTTCCGCAAGAACAGAAGAGCTGAGCCATCTCTCCAGCCCCGATTTCTAGGGTTTTGCCTGCAGGTTTTTAGGGGTCTCTTGCAGTTGTTTGGAGTGGCGTTATCCCAGCAGGAGAGCTCCTTCCCCCTGAGTCAGTCATTTCCCACAACCATGTGCAGGGATCAGGTTATTATTTTGAATTTTTGAGACAAGTTCTTGTTCTGTAGCCCACTCTGGACTTGAACTTGCTATTCTCCTGCCTTAGCCCCTGGGTGCTAGGATAGCAATGCCCACACCTGTATCTACAGTAATGGTTCAGTAATCCATTCTTTTGCAGTTAAAATATACCAAATTGTTAAACATTGTCTAACAGAAGCAATTTCCTAATAAATATTGACAAAGTTCTTTAATGAACCTGATTTAGTGACACAAATTCTTCATATAGTTCCAAATTTAAGATCTGACTACCCTTTCTTAATTTAAAAATATGAAGCAATGTCTTTCAAAGGCTCTAGAGCTCGTTCAGCAGTGACCTTATACAGGTAAGCTGTTGAGTGTCACAAATCTAAAGTTCAGTTCAGGCACCCCCAAGACAGCTCTGGTCCTTACCGTGTGTTTGCCTGGATGCCTTTTTATGCATTTTGGAGGTTACATTTTCTCCCAGTCTTTTGCAGTAAGGAAATCCTTATCACTACCATCTCATTTTAAAAGATTTATCCATTTGAATTAGCTAGAGTTCTTAATCTTTAGGTCCTACATTCTGCCTTTCCGTGTTCTAGGATTTCTGGAGTCCTTAATGAATACCAAAGAGAAAGATCTCATACATACACACCTATGTACAACAATGAAACTATTTCTAGCCCCCCAAAAATATACACTACAGTTTTCACTAACATTTTTGCCCTGATGGTTGAGATATAATATTCATATTGCAGTACAGTCATCATACCATCCATTTCTGAAACCTTTGCATCTCCTGAAGCTGAAATTCTGTTCGCATGCCCTATTCCTTGTCAGTACAGTAAGAGCTTCCTGTTTCAGCAGAAACAGTGAACTCATTTCAATGGATTTACAGGGCTACACTCTACTGGAACCAGGGAGTGCCAAATCTTCACTGCCTACTGTTTGGATTATATTAGAAACTGCTGAGATTTGCTTTTGTTAAAACTGGGAAACATCTGCTCTGAGTCTAGGTCCTTGCTCACCTGAGCTTGTCATTGTTTTTGAAACTCTGACTCAGCAGCACTCCAGCAAAGAGGGGCTCAACCATCTGTGATCGGCTATGCACACAGAGGCGGCTCACCATGTCTCTTGGTGACCATGATTGCCCTGGGAGGAGAGGACCAGCTGACTTCTCCATAGGCTCACAGACGTATGCACTGATCAGGTGCAGAGGCAGAACGGGTGGGTAGTCAAGAAGGACACTTGGGTACAAGAAATACCTTGTCCTACCTTCTACCTGTCTCTTTCTAAAAAACAGCTAGGCTAAAGGTCACAGAAGTCATAGTAAGAGCATAAACAAAAATAGCGAAAGTAAGTGACATGGCAGAAACCTTCAGGAGACCAAAGTCCTGTTGCTGACATTTGGCCATCACTAGTTTCATAATGCCAGGGGGCAGTTGGCCAAGAAAGGCTGGCTGGCCAACACCAGGCCCACAGTCCATTGGCCAGTATGCATTTCAGAGTTCCTTCTGCATGCCTATCAGTTCCATAACTTGGTATGACTCAGGTGAATGGCAAGTTTTGTGATGCTGCATGGTTTCTTCAGAGGAACTACACCTTGAACCAAAACGGCATGGCTGGTGCAATCCAACTGCTGTATCAACTGATCTACTGTGAGAGATGTTGGCTGGCCCCTTCCAGAACCCACAGTTTTCTCTTGCCATTGCCAGGAGCAGTAACCCTGACGTGGCTTTGTAGCAGAGCTTCTCATCTTCGTGACTTCTGACATCCTGACGTGTTCTGATACCTCAACAACATCCCCGAGATAGGAATGCCTGAGTCCGTTCTAGCAATCTGTCCTATTTTTTAAACAATGAGATTCTAATGTAAGGCTGATTGATAATGGAATTGTATCTAAAGAATTAGGCTAGGCAAGATGAAGTGCTTATTACTTTCACGGCAAATCACCTTTATTACAGTCGGGTTTTGTGTCAAATTGCTATTTTTATTAATGTTAAGAGACTCATTAGAAACATCTCAGAATTGACTACATTTGTTTGGAATATAAAGTTCCTTAGACTTCCACATTTTTCCCCCTGTTAACAAAGGCTGGCTGGAATTACTGTGTCTCTATCATAGTCCAGTGAAGAGAGGAAGGCACAGAGCACTAATCACTTAGAAACAGTGACTCTGACAGGCGTGACAAAATAGTTTAACATGAAGCAGATCCAGATCTCCTGACACCAGTGTAATCCTTAAGTATACATGTGAGAGTGACCATCACCATCTGACATTTTTTTTTTTTTTTTTTTTTTTTTTTTTTTTTTTTTTTTTTTTTGAAAAAAAAGAGGACGATAAATCTTTCACTGTGATATATCAAGCGATTATCTTCTGTCCTTTTTTTTTTTTTTTTTTTTGTCTTTTTGTCTTTTAGTCTTTATGAGACAGTGTCTCCCTGTAGCCCCAGCTGGCCTGGAACTGCTATGTAGACCAGACTGGCCTTGAACTCATAGAGATCTGCCTGCTTCTGCCTCCCAAGTGCTGGGATTAAAGACATGCACCACCAAGCCCAGCTATCTGACATTTTCAGATGTAATAAAGGTAGGCATCTCACAGGAGGACAGATTTCAATAGAAATTTTACAATAGATTCAGAAATGTAGCCACTACCAACTTACCTTTTCTGTTCCCAACAAATATGAAGTAATTATGTTTAATAATTCAGTAGGGAAATAAAGTAATAGCTCCTGGTGAATGGAATGAGGCAAGCCCAGCTATCTGACATTTTCAGATGTAATAAAGGTAGGCATCTCACAGGAGGACAGATTTCAATAGAAATTTTACAATAGATTCAGAAATGTAGCCACTACCAACTTACCTTTTCTGTTCCCAACAAATATGAAGTAATTATGTTTAATAATTCAGTAGGGAAATAAAGTAATAGCTCCTGGTGAATGGAATGAGGCATTACCTATATTAACCCAACCACAGCCATGCGAACCTTGAGTCTTTCCAAGGCCCAGAATCACTTGACCACTCCCATGGCAGGAATTCTAGACCATTTAGAAAGTAGGTGAGGGGTGAGCCCTGGGTGTGCTACTTCTGTGCGTGCATAATAAAATCTCATACTAGAAGAAACTTCTGGTTCTTACTGTTCTTCAAAGAGTCGTATTTGTGAAAGGTGTTTTTGTGTGTGTGTCGTACATGTACACGTTCATATCTATGTATGCGCCAGTGAACGGGCGGGTACGTGAGACCAGAAGCTGACTTCAGGACCTTCCTCAACCACATTTCACCTTATCTTTTGAGACAGGGACTCTCGATGAACCTGGAACTCACAGACTTCACTAGACTGGCTGCTTGGTCAGCCAGTGAGCGCCAGGGATCCAACTATCTCTGCTCTCCATCTGGGGTTACAGACGCTCACCACTCAGCCCAGCTTTTGACAAGGGTGCTAAGGAGCCAAACTCAAGTCCTGGTACTTGTGCAACAGATACTTTACCAACTGAACCATCTCCCCAGTTCTGAAAGATGGCTTTTCCATGTCTGAGCACCATAGGTACAGGACAGTGAAGTGGCATTTACCTGTGTAAAGCTGTCTTGTCCAGCAGACTGACAACATTTCCTCCCTTTTACTCGATGGAATTGCATGAATCTCTTATTTGTCTTGATTCTTATCTGTTTTTCTCTGTCATGGAAGGAGATCAGGGCATATTTCTAGCTTTTATCATACAGATTCTCTTCCTCAAAACACTGGTCTTTTTCATAGAGTTGTTAGAAAACCCCTGATAAAGGCTAGAGAGCCTTTTGACAGTTCCTTCCCTCATAAATGAGCTCTTATTTTCAGGCTTTACTCATTTGACTCCCTGACACGAACGAGCCCTTCACTCTCATCAGCAAATGTCCTTAGATGTCTTTGTTTTCTCCTTCCTCTATCTTCGTCTGTCGTTCAATTTTACTTTTTATCTTCTTCTTCTGGTTTGTGGAGCCAGGGATCAGATCTAGGGCCTGGCACATGCCAGGCCAGCACTCTACCACCACAGAGCTGTATCTCCAGCCCTAAATTGTACTTTTCTAGTTTAAAGGGACTTGGTATTTTACAGAGAGCTCACAAGATAGATGTCTTAACGGTATCTTGTGTCACATACTAAAGGAAATTATGATTCTACTACTTGAGAGATGATTAAGAATGTGTCGTTGGGCACGAGCGTCTGTCCAGCACTTCACTCTTCCTGATTGTACTTGCTCTGAGATGACTCACCTGTCTCCTCCTGGTCATGTTTCCTGTGACGCATGCTTGAGTTGAGAAGCATGCAGTCTAGTTGATAATGTCCATTTCAGATCAAAAGTGGGTAAGATTTTGTATTGAATACTTCTAAAGCGTGTGTGGCTTGCAGAAGGAACCCGCCCCCACCCCTTACAAAGCCATCCGCCATCCTCACATTCCTTCTTTCCCCTCTTTGTCTTCCAGGAGATACAATATTCATCATTCTGAGGAAGCAGAAGCTGATCTTTCTGCACTGGTATCACCACATCACTGTGCTCCTGTACTCCTGGTACTCCTACAAAGACATGGTGGCTGGGGGTGGTTGGTTCATGACTATGAACTATGGCGTGCACGCCGTGATGTACTCTTACTACGCCTTGCGGGCCGCTGGTTTCCGAGTCTCCCGGAAGTTTGCCATGTTCATCACCTTGTCCCAGATCACCCAGATGCTGATGGGCTGTGTCATTAACTACCTGGTCTTCAACTGGATGCAGCATGACCACGCCCAGTGTTACTCCCACTTTCAGAACATCTTCTGGTCCTCACTCATGTACCTCAGCTACCTTGTGCTCTTCTGCCATTTCTTCTTTGAGGCCTACATCGGCAAAATGAGGAAAACCACGAAGGCTGAATAGTGTTGGAACTGAGGAGGAAGCCATAGCTCAGGGTCATCAAGAAACATAATAGACAAAAGAAAATGGCACAAGGAGTCAATATGGTGCAGCTAAAACAAAATAAATATACAGGCAGACACAGAACCCGAGGCAGCTTAGGGTGATAATTAGGTCAACTTAACCCAGTAAGTTTATGATCCTTCTGAGGTGAGGACTCACTGAGTGTATCTCCATCTCAAAGCACTGCTGCTGAGGGGCCCTTCCCTCTTATCTGTCAACTCCAGGACAAGCATCAAAAGGGAGCCAGAGGCAGAGAAATAATCAAGCAAAAGCTGTTAACACTATACGGGGGGGAAAATGTCTTTACTAAGTGTTATATTTCTCTAAGGATGAAAGAATTTCACTTTAAAAACTATGCGAGCACACACATAGACACAATCCTTTCTAATCAATCTTTTTCAACATGGAGCTAGAGATAGTAGAAAAGATAAAAATGGAAGAGACACAGGGTTTATATCTAGAATAATAAGAAATCAAAGCCTTTTAAAAAGTTAGCTATTGTAGCCCCTTGAAAAAGATGTCTTAATCATTTTTTATTGCAACTAGGATTTAAAAGATTGGTATTTTTTCTTCCCCCTTCATTGCAAAGCCTCAGACTACTGAGTTTGCTATAACCAAACAGAGGGCAATACTTTTCCAAAGTTCTTTGTGGAAACGGTGCAGCCCAAATCCCAGAGCCTGTAGCTGAATGTCACATTACCAACAACTCCGCTCTTCCATGAGGTACAAGGCCTTATCCTTTGTTCAGTTGCCCCAGACTTCAGAACTGAAAACATAAAATCAACCCGTTGACTTGGAAATGGAATCTTGTACTATCTGTAAAAAACTCAGCCCATTGCACTGGAGCTGGAGAAGGGAGGCAGTGAGAAGAGGCAGAGCTGAAGATTCATCCAGTAGGCAATATGTACGCTATGCCCGGCCCTGTTTGACGTCACACGTGCGCCTGACTTTCCAGATGAAACCTGTGGGACAGTCCATATTTTCTATATTTTGTGACTTTCAAAAATAGATCTGCAGGACTCTGCCTGATTTGGGCTAAACACTGTTTCCACATCTGCTATTTGCTTCTTAAGCAGTGCAGAGTTGTGTAAAGTGCCCTCTGCTGGCCGAGTTGCGAAACTTCAGCAAACACGCTTCATAACAGGTCTGGCTGAAAATAGTTGAGAACAAACGGTCTGCGAAAATTAATCCTTAAGATTTAAGTGCTATCAAATACCTGTCATCCACTTAGCCAAATCAGAACACATCCCTTCTGCTTCAGGTCAGCTCCATAAATTTTTTAAGGGACTTTCACTCTGGAACTCGGTCAATTTATCAAGAGCCATATTTAAAGAAAAAAAAAAGCTAGATAATACTGTCTGTAATATTTCAGTCCTCTACAAGCCAAATAAATATGTCAACGTTCCTAGTATTTCAAAGAAGCAATTATGTAAAGTTGTTCAATGTGATATAATAGTATTCTAATTGGTTAAGTAGCTTAAAGATTAGGCAAACTAGAAAAGATTAGAGGCTAATACATTGCATAGCATATACACACATAACCACACATATGCACGGAGGCGTGGGGTATACAGAGCTGCAAAGCCCAGTGAATAGTAACACAATTTTCAGCTAGCAGAAACTATCGTTTATCTTATACCTTTATTTGAAAGTGTACAGTAAAGGGGATTTTTCACATTATTTTTATATTATTTTAGCTTTAATTGTGCTGTCATTCATGAAACAGCTGCTGTCCTTTTCTGTGAGAGACAGCAAAGGAGTTTTCAGCGTCTTTTATGTGTGGAGTTTAAAAGAATAAAGTTTTACTCCATTCTATATGAATGGCTTGAGCAGTGGACAGAGACTCCATGCAGATTGAGTCATGGCTGAAAGAGCCAGGGAGAGGGCTAAGCCAAGGAGGGAAGCCACTGCATCCACGTCAGATTAACTGTGTGTCTTTATGTGATGAGACATGATTGGAGGGGTGTGTTATTAGGGTGAGAGTTGGCATGAGATGCAAAAATAGATCCACTACAACAACTAAGAGGTCCTTAGAATGTGATTTCTCTGAGCTTTACAAACACTAGTGGACAGTCAGCCCTTCCAGTCTTGTCGCAGGAAGAAGGCAGAATAGTGGAAATGAAGAGGCCACATATCAGTTGACTTGAATTTAATCAAGAGATCAGTTTGAGGCTCATCTAGTTGACTTAATATGATCCAGTGGTTTATCCTAGAATACAGGTTACACTATGGAACTAAGCATAAGCCCTAAAAGACTAAGCAATGCTTCCAAAAGCACTTTAATTTTGATGTAGGCTTCATTCTGTATTCACTTGTAAAAATAACTTAGTATTTTTGTTTACAGAGTGAATGTCTAATCGTTTTTAAGCCAGCTAAATATCTCCCAATGTTCATCATAGGAAGAGAAAGCCAAATGTTTTTACACAGAATTCTGATATCGTAGGCTCAGCACTCGGTTTAACACATCGGCTTCACTGCTTTAAGTCTATCAAGATATGAGGCTGGATCACTGGCCTATGACACATCTGAGACCTGCCAGAGAACTGACTGCCACATAGATGATACTGCTGTCAACATTCCAGAAAAACCTGAGCAAGCTAGTTTTTGTAGCTGCCCCATTATGCTGCAATAGATGATCTTTATTAAAGATTTCCCACTGCATTCCAATCCCAGTATGCTAAAAACTTCATTCCTGGAGTCAATGAAAGCAAATGCTTGATTTCAGATTTGCAGTTTCATGTACTAGGTCTGAGCATCAACTCAAATGTAGAGTTTGCAATGAAATTCTAGTTAGAAACACTCCATGAGTAGGAGATTTTATCTGGGCCTTCTAGAGAAAAGAGCAGCTATTATTGTTATTTATTTATTGTATTTATATCCAATGCCAGGCCAAAGTACTGCGTTAAGATCACGGGTTAGGGTTATTATTCCAGGTAATTTAGTCCCATTTTTCTGATTATTCTGAACTACAAAAATTCAAGACTGGAAGGAAAATACATATGCGTTGCTTCAGGAGAGAGCAGTTTAGTTGTGTCCCTGTAACATCTCCAGCACTCCTGATGTGTCTGAAGAGACTGGTTAGTCCAATGACTGACATCTTAACTCGGTCAGAAACTTCATGGGGCTAGATTTTTGTTGTTGTTGTTGTTGTTGTTGTTGTTGTTGTTGTTAGAACGAACGCAAAAACTATAGGCATCTAGGACACCACCTCCAGTAAAGAGACCCACAGGGTTGTTTTTTGCTCTGTTTTAAGATCAATTGTATCTTCATGATAAGATAAAGCCTGTCACATTAGAGTGACAAAGCACCCAGAGTCAGTTACTGGAATAGAATGTTCCAGAAGTCTGCTCAGTTATCTGTGAGACTCACAGGTTCGGGTTACTGTCTTTTCCTTCTTCTGATAGAACACACTCTTCCTCCGAGACTGTGTCACACAGCAGAGTCAGGTTAGCACATTCTGAGGGGTGTAACAGTTCTTTAACCATTGTTGGATTGGTCAGGTGTTAAGGGAGCAGCTAGAATGGGGAAGACCGGATGGATTCCAATCTTGAGAATTCCAAGCTGTGAACTCTATGTGCTGGGCCCATGTCCATCTATCTCTCTTAGGCACATTTCCTGTGTGAGAATATCATGCTGGAAGCCTGATAGATGACTAGAGCTTTCTAGTCATCAAATGTGTCTTTTCCCAGTCTTTGTTTTGATAATATTTTGCTGTCAGTTTGGAACAGAGTAGGGCTTGAGGTCGTGCTGTGAATCATTGCCTTCTAGAGCTCCTTAACATCATTCTGGCCATATGTTTATGTCCAGCACCCATTTCCTTGTGCCTCAGACCCCTTGCCATCAGAAAGCGACTTGGGTAAGAATTCACAGCATATGGTCTGTCACTCTTGATAGAGCAGAGATGTCCCATTTTGTTCTAATACTCAATATGGTGGGTCCCAGTTGGCCAGTGAGCCAGCATCTCCTGCTGGTACCTGATAGTGACATAAAACAGGTGTCATTGTCTGTACAGGATGCTCAGCCTATTGTAGCAGACTGCACATAGAGACACAAGTAAGCCATATTGCAGAGTCCATGGCTGGAGCTAGTTAAACATACATCTACCCAGAGCTCAGAAAACACCCATAAGCCTGTTGGATTATCCAGTCACTTCCCTCATCTTCAGATACTTGGAAAAGTCAGGATACACAGGGGGAGGGATCCCAAGACCTCCTGCATCCACAGTTGTTTGGTGGTACATTGGGAACTGTCTGTGCGTGGTTTTCAAGAAGTCTTGTAACTACACTTAGATTGCAGGTCAGGCAGGCCAAAGTCAGATATTTCCAGATGTTGACACCTACTGCATTGTAGTCAAGTTCTCCTGAAGCAATTTGTTAAGTTGCAGAAATGAATCCACAGGTCAGAATATAGATGTATTGTAACCCAGTTAGGACACATCTGAAAGGGCCTGACTCCTGTTGGTGTCAACGTTATCTTTCCAATGATTGGTGGCGCCTAAGGCTTTTTTTCCTAGTGGACAGAAATCAAAAAGTAACCTCATTGTGTGTCCCAGTCATGTGGTTGTGTTGTTTCAGTCAAGTATAGGTCTGAACATGACCAGGCTAGAGACTACTCACTGCTACCCCCAAAACCACTGGAAGATTCCATTTCCTAGGCCCCTAAGCTTAGATTTAGAGGGAAACGCACTCATCCAAGCCTCACACAGCAAATCACAGCGGTGTTGGAATTGTTATTTTCAAGTGCTCATTTCATGACATTAAAAAATATTTTGGTGTATTAAGATTAAAAATAAAATCATCATAACTTTTGATTTAAAACTTTCTGTTTATCGTTTGTTCTGGGGCAGTTTAAAGGGGACACCAAGGACACCATAGGTTAACCAGAATCCTCTGGAAGATCATTCCTACACCCATGTGTTCATGGGACACAGGAATAGACAAAATCACCCATGTGTTCTCTGGCAGAACCCTGCAATGATGTGGACGGACCATGCACACATGGGCATCAATTCCATGAGGTCTCTGGCCGTTCAGGAAAAACTTGTCTAGAGCATTCTACAGGGGACATGCTTACCACATCTGTTGGCTTCCCAAGCAGTCCTAGTAAGGCAGACAGAAATCAGATCCCAGGTTTTTTGTCCTTTTTTAAAGGGAAGATGTGCTTGTTAGAGCCAAGGTGGTAGAGGGAGGAATGAGGACAAGGGTCTCCTTTAAGTCTCACCACAGTCATTGACAGTCATTTGAAAAGAAGCTGAATATAATATAATGAAAATTCTACTTCTCCACACTGAGCTTTGTCATGTCACAAGACAAAGTGTTTGGGAATAAAATACACTGGGGAAAATTTTTAGCAGGGACAGTGTCCTGTAGTCACTCCTCAGGACATCATCACATACCTGCAAGTGTCAGAGGCAGTCCAAACCAGCCACTCAGTGCTCATAAAATTGCCCAACTTTCAAGCTCCATGCTCTGCCCACCATGCCTCACGCTTTTGAGGGTCACTGGTTTGCATCATTCTTACAGCTCTTTGGAGCCACTGGAGCCACATTAAGGCATCATTTCTGTATGGCATTTATGTTTAGCACTCAAGAAACATGTTCACGGAGGTTTTCCCTGCCTCTTTTCACCTTATCTCTGATTATATCATCAAAATGGAACTTTGTGTTCCTGTTATAATCTACTTTATGTATTTTCTTACCTCGGTTGGATGGGGGAACATCCATGCTGTGTAAAATATCTTTACTAGTTTCGAATGAGCGGGAACCTAATATAACTGACTGCCTTTGTGTGGCTTCTGTTCTGATAATTGCCCCAAGAATCAGGTTTCAGACATGAATACAGAAAGCAATAAAGTATATAAGCTTCTCTACTGCTGTCTAGCTACAAATGCTGTGGTGACTACAAACACCAAGAAGTGTCATAGAGCAGGCCGCTCTGAAAGAATGCCACTATCACCACAGCCTGACACGCAGGTGGTATGGGCTTGTTTTGGAACGACTAGATTTGATTTGGTATCCTAAGCCAATGGGCACAGTGGGCATCCTAAGTCAATGACCAGGACAACTAATACAACTGAAAATGTTGAGCCCCCACGTGGCGCACTGTGCCTGGTTATCCCCCAGGCAAAGTGGATCTCCATTCAAGCTTCAGTGATTTCCAGAAGTCTCTCTATGACACCAAATTGGTGGGCCCAGCCAAGAACAAGATGTGTGTGTGTGTGTGTGTGTGTGTGTGTGTCCATGGAAAGAGGCATGTGCCTTCCCTCAGACTGTATTTCTTGTAAGGTGTCAGAGGATTTGGGCAAGATGAGATGTTACTGATATGAACATTATTAACTATTCATTCCATTTCATCCCTTGGTATTATCTGGATCTTGAATGGGTCCCAAAAGCCCATCTGTTGAGGCTAGTCTCCAGGGGCATTACGAGGGGAGTTGAGGTCTTTAAAAAGTGGGAGGTCTTTAGGCATTAGGGCTATGCCTACTTCCTCTCTTCATTTCTTAAAAAAATTTTATAAATATATAATATAATCTCAGCACTTGGGAGGCAGAGGCAGGCAGATCTCTGTGAGTTCAAGACCAGCCTGGTCTACATAGTGAGTTCCAGGACAGCTGGGGCTACAGGGATACTCTGTCTCAAAAAGACCAAAAATTTTTTTTTATTATTTTTATTTTATGTGTATGAGGGTATTGCCCGTATGTTTGTGAATGCACCCGTGTCATACAATGCCCTTGGAGGTCAGAGGACATCAGATCCTCTGGAACTGGAGTTATGGACGGTTGTTAGCTGCCATGTGGGTGCTGAGAATCTAACCTGGGCCCTCTGCGAGAGCAGCCAATGTTCCTAGCCACTGAGCCATCTCTCCAGCCCCATCCTCTCATCTTTTTTGTTTCCTGTCCATGAGGTATTGCTTCTATCTAGACCTAAAGCAGTAGGCCAGCCAGTCATAGACTAGAACCTCCACAGCTTCCAGAATAAACCTTTCCTCTGTAAGTTCATTGTCTCGGTGTTTGCCAGTGTAACAGAAAGCTCAATGATGTGTCCCTTTGACATTTTTAAAATATTTTATATTTTCTGCTTTTCATTCTGTTTCATCTAATGGTTGAAGACAAGTGGGTTTTCTTATTTATGCATTTATTTGAGTCTGATTTTGTGTGGAAAAGTTCATAGACATACACAGTGTAGAAAGCTATGCAGCTTAAGGGTTAAATGTGTGTGGCAGCCCCTACCCACTTACCAGCCTGCCTTCTCACTACAGGATCCTGTAATCTCTGGGTTCCTCAGCCTCCCAGGGTAGAAACCCTGTGCTCCACTCAGGGCTCCACACACAGCCTCCTTTCTTATTGACTACACTAATTCCTTTCATACTAGAAGGGAAAATCTCCCCCCTGGGTGTTTCTTTGCTGTTTTATTTATGAAAACTCCAGTGGGTGTTTGAGGCAGCCAATGTCTATGAAGAGAAGGAAAACTCCTGGCCCTCCGCTGCTCATAGTTACATGTGAGTTGCTGGAAAATACCAGAATATTTTTTTGCAAAATGAGCACATTGTCTCTGAATAAGAAGCAATTCTGATTTCATCTGAGTTTTCAAATAACAAAATCAATAGAACATAAATAAACTGACTCTCCAAACTGACAGGCAGCCCTGCAGATGCATTTCTTCATCTACATGTATCCTGACTTTCCCTGGGAGCCACCAGCCTCAGCAGGAAACTTTTATGCTGGTTTTCCCTTCCACAGATACCTCCGACATCCTGCCAAGCCCCTTACATCTAATTCTGGAAGTCACACCAGGAGGGAGGTGGGCTACCTTGCGGTCTCTATCAGGTCTCTCGTCCTGCAGGCCTGCATTCACCAGTTCCCAGCCAGCAGCTCTACCTCTTCATCAGTCACTTGTCCTTGCCTGTGCTATGGGATTAAATGCCTCCTTCCCCTTGGCTGGATGGTCTGTCCAGAAAGCACATCCCTCTACTAAGGACCCAAACATGCATCCAGAAAACCAGCAGACTGAGTAGAGGCCTCTGTTCCCCTCTCCAGTGTGAGTCAAATATTTCCCGGGATAGAACTCACGGGCTTGCTTTCTTCCCTGTGTAGATGAATGCCCTCAGTTCCATGGTGATTAGACCTCTATGGTCATTACACCAACTCCCTAGACCTGCCCAGATACAGCTAAGACAATAAATATGGTCTCCTTTCTAGAAGCCCCAGCTCTCCTGTAGGGTCCCTGCTACACCCCTTCCTTAGGTGAGATAGCCAGGCTTAGCTGCATTATGTGTGTGGGGGTGGTGTAGAATGAAACATACTTATTGCAGTACAAATCCAGGCCTTTGCAGTGAAAATCAGCTTTCTGAATTAAAAGAGCAATCTTAATTACTGAGATTGATTCCTAACTCGCAGCCTTCACACACACCCTTTATCCTGTCTTGTCAGGCCACTCTTCTCTCTGCTCACAACACTGGGCTCTTCCTTGTCTTCATGGGAGCTTGTCACTACAGGAAACACGGTTGGTTGGTTGTATGCGCTCTATCTAAGGTCTGTTTTCTTTGGTAGATTGAAAGGCCTGCAGAGCAGGAGTTGAGTGTGCCTATTCTCCCCCAAAGTTTTAGGGCTTGGTAGATAGTAAATATTAAAGGATATTACTGCGTGGTTATAAATATAACCCATACTACACTCATCTCCAGCTTCTCCTTAATGCCCTAGCTTTTGGGGAGAGGGAGAAACATTGTGGTTTTTCACTGAATATATCCATGCACTCATTTTTTCATGTGTGTGTGCGTGCGTGCGTGTGTGCGTGTGTGTGTGTGTGTGTGCGTGTGCAGGTGTGTGTGCACATACTTGTGGAAGCTAGAGATCAGGCTCTGTTGTCATTCCTCACCAATCATCCACCCTGTTTTTTGAGACAAAGTGTCTCACTGAGGCTCCCTAAGCACCCCAGTTTGGCTTTGAACTCATGATCCTCCAGCCTCCCACGTACTATGATTGCAGGTGTGCACCACCATATCCAGCTACAAGAGGTCTTTTTGGAGAATGATTCTCCCCATTTTTTTTCCAGTCAAAGAAAGTGTGCTCCTATGGGATGTCCACATTGTGGATTTTTATGATTATGGTATCATTTAGCTAATTTCTCTGTTCCCTGATGTTGCCAATAAATGAGAATTTGGTGGGATGCACGAGAGCCGGATATGAGAGTATCTGAGGTGATGCTCTGGTCTCTGGGCTGCTGCAATTAGGAGGTAATCCTGAGAAGCCAGGATCCACAGTTTGGTGTGAATAACAATTATCCCGTTATAATGTTAGCTGCCCTGCCTTGTTCTGAGTACTTTGACACCTTCCAAGTATCAGTTCCCAATGCACCTTTTTGCCTCATCTTTACTATTATTTTATTTATTATTTTTACTTTATGTGTATGAGTGTATTGCCTGCATGTATGTGAGTGCACCTGTGTCGTGCAACGCCTGTGGAGGTCAGAAGAGGACACCGGATCCCCTGAGACTAGAGCTATGCATGGTTCTTAGCCGCCATGTGGGTGCTGGGAACCCAACACGGGTTCTCTGGGAGCAGCCAGTGCTCTTAACCACCGGCCCAGCTCTTACATTTTGATAAGTTGCCTCAACTATTCATTTTCTTAAAAGACGAAAGACAATTTTAGTACTCTGCCATTTCTTCCATATATATTAACTAAAATTATTTTGCTTTTGGCGTTTTTTTTTTAGCATTCCTTACCAGTAAGGCATACCCAAAATGCAATTTATAGCCAGCATAAGTCAATCTTTGGCTCTTTGCTTAAATTATCAGTTTCTAGAGTATTAGATACACAGCC